TATATGTATTTGTCCAATCCATCTTAATATGTTGGTCTCCTTGGGATCAGAGCTCCTCTCCTTGAGTTGCTGTATCCTCCATGCTGTGGAATGAGCGAGCTCAACTACAAGCCAGCCCCCATGCAAAGAGGTCACATGACCCAGATCAAGGAGATTGGCACTGCCCAGACCTTCATATCTGTAGTGACAAGGGAAGCCCAAGAAATGCCATGTGTTTCTGGCTGGGGTTCTAGCTGAGGTGAGAGGAAGCCACCTCTCTCCCCAAGGTGGCTACAACAGGATGTCACACACCTACAGGTCTTTGTAGCTTCCATGTCAGCTGAGCTGCCTCAGGCCATGTCTAGTGTCAAGCTTTTGTCTGCGGTGACCAGAAGTGGGAAGCTCTCTGGTTTCTCTAACACTGGTCATGTCTGAGGCTACTCTCTGGTTTTGGGTCAGATTGCAATCTCTAGGGGGGTGAAGTTCTAGGCTGCAGCATCTGAAACTGTGACCCCAGGAGTCAGGTAACTCACTGTGGCGGTTGCGAAACAACCGGTTCTCTCTTAGGCTTTTGCTACATGCCGAGCACTAAACAACACTTCTCTGTGTCCTTACCGCCATCCCACACAAGCCGGAGAGCCAGGCTGCCAGAAGCAGATGACGGCCCACGCTCACCCAGTGTCAGATCCAGGATATGTTACTGATTCCTATGTGCCCTGGCTCCCTGGGGGCATTCAGCTTCGTGATGGAAACAGAATCCACCAAGCTCACAGTGCACCCACTCACACTCCACCCACCCGTGACCTTCCAGAAGCCACTTTTGTTTGGGTGGTTACTCTTGCAGGAAAATAAATGATAGCCCTAGAGACCAGTTAAGCTTTCTAACTGTGGGTGGGTTCACATTTGTCACTGGTCCCCTGGCTCTGAGCATGGAAGGTCCCCAGACCAGCATCTCCTAGGAGCCTTCCCTCCATAGATGATGCTCTGTTATTTGGTCCATCAGGCTCTTCCTATCCTCTCTCTTGTAAAATGACTGACCATGACATTACCCACCTTCAATCAGTGCTTCATTTGACCTTTCACCTCTAGTTCCATGGGTGCTAGGATCAGCAAATACAACGCCAGAACTCTGCAAGCCCTATGCTGAATGTCAGTGTGGTGGGAGATCAGCCAGGCTTCCCGGAGGGTGAACCCACTGGATGAGTGATGTGTTGGCCAGAGAACAATTTTTATGTGTCAATTTACTACTGTTGCTCTTAGGTTATGTAAGGGATGGAAGATTAGAAGAAGTCATGACTTCTGGTGACCTCATTGAGTTCGATCAGTCCGAATCCCAGAGGCTGGTTAGCCTACAGGAAGATATTAAAATGCATTGATGACATCAGAAATTATATGAGGTATATATGCATATGTGTATGTATGCGTGTATACATATACATATATAAAATATATTGTAGACAGAAGTTTTTGTCTTTCCTGGTCCCATAGCCATTCAGTTTCAAATAAACACGTAGAGGCTTATATTAATTATAAACCGTTTGGCCTATTGCTCAGGCTTGTTACTAACTACCTCTCACAACTTAAATTAACCCATAATTCTTAATTATGTTTAGCCATGTAAGTAAGCCTCAGTAAGGCATTCTCATCTTGCTTCCTCTGCATCTGACTGACTACTGCATCTCTGCCTTTCCTCTTCCCAGAATTCTCCTAGTCTGATTGCCCCGCCTATACTTCCTGCCTGACTACTGGCCAGTCAGCTTTTTATTAAACCAGTATGAGTAACAAATCTTTACTGCGTACAAGAGCATTCTCCCACAGCATTATATATCATATATATAATGTGATACATATTATATATCATTTATGATAGATAGATAGATAGATAGATAGATAGATAGATAGATAGATAGACCAGAATTATATGGGGGTAGGTAAGTATGTAGATAGATTAATAGATTAGATAGATACATAGATAGATGATAGATACATATATACATACGTGTGTGTGTGTGTGTGTGTGTGTGTGTGTGTGTGTGTGTGTGTGTGTGTAGACCAGAGGACAATCTCATGTGTCATTCCTCAGGAGCTTGCTTTTTGAAACCAAGTAGCTCATTTGGCCTGGAGTTCACTGATTGGGCTAGACCCAGAAAATTCTGTGTACAACCCCCCCCCCCCCCCCCCCCCCCCCCCCCCCCCCGTGCTGGGATTACAAGCACAGGCCGTCAGCATTGCCTTCCCCCACCTCCACCCCTGACCCAGGGCTTTGGTTTGAGACATAGGCTCAGAGAGCCTGGGCCTGAACCTGTCTTTCTGCATTTGACCTCAGTATGTTGGTCTCATCAGTCACCTCTGATCTTGGGGTTGCTAAGGCCCTGTATGAGAAGCCCTGTGCCCTGAGGGTGAGAGACAAACTCGGACTTCCTCTGCCCCTGGCCTGCTTTCAAAGCTGGGCTGACTTAACTCTGAAGAATGAGGCAAGGCACCTGGCACCCAGATGGAGCTGAAAAGACACCTTGAGGAATGATCTGACCCCTGGGGAGGCCAAGCACCCAAAGGACCCAAGTGGAGAACTAATCCTATTTTGAGGCCTTCTGTTTTCCTAATTGCAGGCAAAATAGGCTGCGGACCTCTCCTAACCTTTCTCCTCCTGGGAGGCTGTAAATCCTGCCAATCAGTGATCAGATAAAAAACGTTTTCTTGTGAAGTTATAGCGTTCTCTTAGAGAAAAAAGGCAACCCTTTTGCCCCTTCATCTCATTTCATGATAAAGTCAGGCCTCAGTGAGGGGCAGATTGGAGATCATAGGAGCAGCTGCTCGAAGGCAGAAGATAACGGACATCACACAAAGGGTTGGACTCAGTACAAAACCCCAGCTCCATCTCGGGCCCCAGTTAGCTTCCTTAGCATCACAAATCTGATTTGGGCACCAAAGGAGAAAATCAAAACCAGAGACCGACATGAAAAGCCGTGTTCTGTTTGGTCTGTGTTTTTGTATGTGTTCCCAAGAGGAAATCTACTTTCAACAAGGTGAAACTGTTCAGGGAGCCATTGTCCCCACAGCAAATATTGTCATTTTACAGCACTGGGAATATTTTACCAAGGGGCATTAAGTTTCCATTCTACAAACAGAAGAGGCCTAGGATGATGGACCCTCCCTCCTTCCTCTTCCTTCCTTCCTTCCTTCCATTTTTCTTCCCCCCCCCTTTTTTATTTTTTTATTTTCAAGACAGGGTTTCTCCATAACTTTTTGGTTCCTGTCCTGGAACGAGTTCTTTTAGACCAGGCTGGCCTCGAACTCACAGAGATCCACCTGCCTCTGCCTCCCAAGTGCTGGGATTAAAGGCGTGTGCCAACATCGCCCGGCTCCTCCTCCCCCTTTCTTCCTCTTCTGGGGCTTTACATATTCTCCAACTTACTACTTAGCAAAGGATAACCTTGATTTTTTGATCCTCCTGTCTCCACTTGCCCAATGCAAGTGTGTGCCACCCTGGCTTATACAGTGCTGGCGATGGAACTCGGGGCTTCATGCATTCCAGGCAAGCATGATATCAGCTACTGACCTAATCTCCAGTCCCAAGGTCACTAGTACAAATACAACACAGAGCCGATGCTCACCCAATATTTGTCTGATAAATGAATTAACCTGTATCCTCAAACATCCCTGTGGTGGTTTGAATAGGAATGGTCCCTATAGGCTCATCTATTTGAGTGTTAAATCACCAGGGAGTGGCACTACTTAGAAGGATTAAGAGGTATGGCCTCATTGGAGGAAGTATATCACTGGGGGTGGACTTTGCAGTTTCAGAAGCCCAAGCCAGGCCCAGAGGCTCTCTCTTTCTTCCTGCTGCCTGCAGATCCAGATGTAGAACTCTCAACTTCTCCATCTCTCTGTTTGCCTGCATGCCACCACGCTTCCCACCATGACGTTAATGGACTAAACCTCTGAAACTATAAGTAAGCCCCAATTAAATATTTTCCTTCGTAAGAGTTGCTGTGGTCATGGCGTCTCCTCACAACAATAGAACACTGACTAAGACAATACCTGCAAGTATCATCATCAGTGGGACAGACATTTTAGAGTCACAGTAGGCTACTACAACAGAACACCATATGCTAAGTGGTTTGTAAACACGGAAGTTTCTGTCTCATAGTTACGGAGGCTGAAAGTCCAAGATCCCTACTGTATGGGTTTCTGGTGAGATCCTATTTACTTGTTCTAAACTCACATGGAGAAAAGAGTGAAGAGCCTCTCCCTGTCCACCCCTTTGAGACTACAACTCCATTCATGAGGACCCCGCCGCCCAAGACTTAAACACTTCCCTCTTTGTGACAGTTTGTGTCTGGAGTGTCCCCTGAAGACCCATTGCTGTTTTCAAAGTTGAATCCATGGGTTGGTGCTATTAGAAAGACTGAGGGAATTTTTAGCAGTGAGGCCCAGTAGGGGTTCTTCTGCTCAATGGAGACATGTGACAAGGGAATGTGGGACACTGGCCTTTCCTCTTCCTCTGTTTCACAGCCTTGAGCTGGCCAGACTTTCCCAACCATGGGCTCCTGCCATGATGGGCATCATGA